TTAGGCCATAAAATTAACATTTTGACATAGCTTAAACATTATCAGTACGTTTAATATAGAAAAAGCTAAACAGGCAGTGGATCCAAATGCGTACTTCTTTTTCGATAAAAATATGGAAAGCCTACTAGTCAAGAAGATAAGACTGAAGTAATAATGTCTTCTATTTTTTAAGCTGTATATTCTATAGTATTGGGACTGTTGAACCGTTTGGATGATATCGATAAAAATGGATCCGAAGAACTAAGCGACGGAGTATCATATAAACTTTAAAAAACAAAATCGCAATTGCTACTTTATCATTTCACCTAGGCACATAAAGAATAGGAATTAAAAACCGTCAAGTGAAAAACCCCAAGAGATACATAAAAATTGTCACAGACGTAAGCTATTTTTCAGACACATCGTAATTTATAAACGATAAGAAAAAAAGTTTGTACAACAAGCAGTGAGTTTCTAAAATTCCTATTGGCCATAAAAGAATAATCAGGTAATTTTATGTTATAAAGTGAAGTAGAGAATAACCCGGACCATAAGTGTACCACGCCATAATATTTAAGGAAATGAACTTTCAGAATAAAATTAAAACCTCTTTAATTGTAGCAAAAGGAAAACGCCAAAGGTACCCTATGAATGTATTCTAGCTGAAAAACAATTAAGGAGGAAATGAATGTTAGCTCGATTATTACTGATAATACGGACAAACTTGAATTTAAATTACAGACGGCAGTACAATAAAAAATAACTTTCGATCACCAAATCGATAATTTTTCAGCAGACAGATTAAATTAAGTATGATTTCTTCATTGGAATCTATTTAACACAGTTAAATGTTTTACGTTGAGACATCTATTAAATACTCCAATGATTGGGGTTTGAGGGTTGAGCGCAAAGTTTTAAAAGTTATTCGCCTTCAATTTTTAAAGAATAAAAGCACCAGCAAGGAAAAAAGCACTTAAAATCAAGTTTTAATATTTGTAGAATATTTGAATCAGGAAAAAAAAATTATTATCTCTTAATACATCAGATACAATGAACGAGATAATTTTTTTTGCTCCGCGTTCTTTAGTAATACATAGAAAAAACCAAGTTGGCCAATGACTGATTTTATTTGAATAAATAAAAATAAAGAAAGGTACTGTAGTACATATTCCCTAATATGTGAAAAATAAAAAATAATTAAAAATAATTAAAATAATTCATAAAAAAATAAAAATAAAATACTTCTAGTACGTTGTTTGGTTACAAATTTTTACAGAAGGTAGTTATTGATATATTGAACGAATATACAAAAAGAAGAAGTAATTCTCATGAACAAAAAACATTCTTATTTATGATAGTGTTTAAACATTTTGATTTTCTTTAAAATTTTTTCTGATTTTTTTTCTGATTTTTTTTTTGAATTTATCGTGAATATTCCCATAAAAGGTAGAGGATGGTGGTACAAAAAAGGCAATTTTTTTGGCTGCGTTTCGGCAATAACTAACAATATTTTAAAAAAATAAAAAAATAAAAAAATAAAAAAATAAAAAAATAAAATCAAAACTAAAAATTGAAACAAAGAAATAAAACAATTTTATGTTCTATTAATTTTCTTTTGACAGTAAAAAATAAATTTGTATTGTCGTGATCGAGGCTATGTACCTAATATACGACACTATCTACACTTCTTAAATCTTCCATTTGATAATCTTAAATATAGTTCTATATTGATATACTTTATATTAAATACTGATCGTTTACTTTATGATATAGGCTTGATCTCATATCATCCTTTTTACAAGTATAAGGCATACATTTAAATAATAACATTGATATGGAAACATATGAAGGCTACATCAGCCACATTGGGGTGCCACAGCTATCTGCATTAAGAACTACATTTTTCCCTGAATATTGTACAACAAAACATATACAGTTTAAGATTGAATGTTATTGTTATTGCTATTGACATCTCATTACGGCCTTTCTATATGGGATCATTACATCCGTGTATTATCTCGTTGAATCTACCCACGACTGTCATTAGTCCATATGTGATCAATATTTGAATTAATGAGTATATAAAGACCCCCTTTTATTTGTTAAATAAAGCCTGAGTTAATTTTTGCAAGTTTGATAATATCTTGTTTTTATTTATAAATCAACACCGATTTTGACAGGTATTAGACAAAACATCAAAGTACATACCGATCAATTCAAAAAACAATTTTATTCTGCTCAGTCCTGACAGCAGAAGAGTTATCAGGCTCATGCCCATTCGTGAGGTCTACATTAATATTCTCAAATACTGCCTCCTTATCTTTAAGTGGTACTGTTTCATCAGCTTTATAAGCTACTCCTGTCCAACCTACATTTATTTTCGGTAATATATCAAACTCGAAACCGTCAATAAACTTTATACTTCCAAAGCTTGATCAAAACCGATCCCATTTGCATATTTAAATCGCAAAGGTTTAGTTCTCCCAAATCGCGAAACGTTGTGATCGTGAGACAAAAAATTAAACGAACCTTGGATTTTGTGTACTTTATTTATTTTTAAAATACGAACTAAAACTTTATAATCAATGAAACTCGTCGTGCTACCGTCATCAGCACTTCCTATCAAATGATGGTTTTCTATTATAACCGGAGTTAAAAGATTAAATGGGTAAGATTTTGTTTTGCCCATATCAAATATATCAGGTTGCGGGTACTTACAACCATCGTAACTCAATCCCTCCATGAGGCTGCTGACCTCTGTGGTGGCTACTTCCATATCCTCGCCTTGGTCCGCTTCGTTTCCAATTGTGGGGGCGCCCACAGCAAACACGTTATGGTTCTCTTGGCAGGTATGACCAGCCATCCAGGGCTTGCTGCATTTGTAGCATGACTTCTCTTTCATCTCAGTGATAACGTGATTCTTGATACTGAAACAATCCTTGGTTTTGTGAGTGGAATTCTTTCCATGATGAGTACAGAAGTGAGCCTTGGTAATACGGGTGAATTGTTTATTTTTGAATAAAACTCATTTGTTGTAACTTCCTTGATAATCAGATTGGTCTTTTCTTTCAAACGTAGTAACCGGAATGATGGTAGCAGCTTGAGCATATAATGAGTTGTCGTCACCCAAAACGTCTTTTCCACTTTGAGTAATGTGTTCAACTGTCCAATTTTCAATACTAGAGGAGCTAGAACCAACATGAGCCAAAGTTACGTTTACCGAAGTTTTTACAGGAAGAACAAGAGAGGACAAAAAACGATCAGCTATTCCAGGGTCATCTTGAGGCAAACCAGCATTACAGACAGCTCGTAGGAATTGCTTGGAATAGTCGGAAATTGACTCAGAGGTTTTCATCTTCATGGGGAAAACTAAATCAGTAAAATGGCTGGTGGCTTGATTTGAACCATGATGTTCTCAGAATGCCTTCATAGCCTCCACCCACGTTACGCACCTCCTTAACTCTGTTGCAGCCCAAGCATTGTCACTATGCGGCAGGCATAATCGAAGAAACTTTCTCCATACGAGCTCAATGTCTCTTCAAGAGGAACCGGCAATTATGTTCACAAAACAGGAAAAGAAATGATCTACCGATTCATATACCTTGGAGTTAGGAAATGGTCACAACACGTTGGAAGCGAGTTGAAATTTAGGAAGGTCTCTGTGGGAGAGTGACAGGATACCAAGTGCCTTATCTTCGTCACAATAGCTCTTATCACCACGAGATATGTCAGCTAAAAAATGTGTTGTAACCCGTCATTGTTGAAGCAGCCGCTTGATTATTTCCATTTCAGCCAGTGCCGCATCTACCGCCGCTTCATCACCTGCAGCACGAGCACGACCGAAGTCTTCAATTAAACGTTGCATCTCACCACCCAAATAACCAATGTTAGCCTTCAGTGAATTACTTTTAGCCTTGGAGCCGTCTGCACCAGAATCGGACACCGTCGAAAACCTATTTGCATTAGCTGCCAGGGCTGATTGGTCCACGTTCATGTAATCCAAATTCCCGTTTGGATTTTCATACAAAATTCTCAAAGGTGAGCTAACCAAGTCACCAATCAAGAATGGAGTATTACCTCCAGATAATCCAGTAGAATTCATAGTGGCTAACAGTAAAAAAATGTTGTAGATACAGTATAAAAACATTGAATAGTTACAAGTCTTACCTTCGTCACAATGTTCATCAAAATCATCACCTCCATGTGAATCTTCCATTAAGCTGACGCCTTCCGCATCGACAGAAGCGGGTCCATAATTATGGTTCACAGAAGCAACTTTCAAAAAAAGAAAAGATCAGTATATGTGTATGTTGTATATACGGTGTATCTAAGATACATACTTTGTGTTATTCCGTTCGACAATAAATATTGTTTACCTCGTTCTTCATAAACACGTTTTTCAGTGTTCCCATAATGTCGTCAGAGAGTTGACTTGGAGACTATAACGTAATCTGCGTTGCTGTGCACGTATCACAGAAGCGTGGCCGTTTTGGAGGGGTTATGTCTAGTGTTTATGAGAAAAATAGATAAAATGTATAAAGTGTAAAAGGGGGTTAAATATGAGAGCACTTGTAAATATATTTTATACCAATGATTGAAGTCGATATATGTGTTTGGAAAGGTTATGTTTCATTTATTGATCTGGTAGGCTAAAATTATTCAGGTATAAAAGGCGGTTAAAACTCTGCGTATAAAAAAACGAAAACCTCTTGTTTTCTATAGACAAGTATACCTTGTGTAATTGTGGGGAGGATATGATAGCTTCTTTTTAAATGATGTAACATTATTACTCTCGACGCTTTTATACTCGACGCAATAAAAAGCTTAATCCTTTTTTTTTTAATTAAGCGTAACACAATAATTTACCGGGTAACATTTTTGGCTGCTATTCTAGAAAAAAGAAGTTTTTCTTTTCTGTGGATTCTTTTTCATTCTTTTCTTCTTCACTCTTTTCTTCTTTTTTCTTTTTATCTTTACAAAATGTATATCCAAGTCAACGTAAGTGGGGTAATTAAGTTAGAAAAATCTGTATGTTAAAGAGTGGATTGTCGATATTGCAAAAAGATGGGCAGCCATATCATCAGTAAGAAGCAGAAAGGTAACCACCCTTTTTTCTTTTTGTTTTCTTTTTCAATAGGTATTTGGATTAGGATATTAAGTATACTAAAGTTGTTCTCAAACAAAAAAAATTGATATCTACCCCCCTCTTTTTGTAAAAATTGGATACCCCCGAACATAAGGAAATTATAACCTTAAAATATCATATTCTTCAGCCAAAAAACATTGAAAATTCATACTAACCGTTGTTACTGGCTTGTTTAAGTATAAAAGCGGCAACCTGAAATAAAGAAAGAGTAATATAAAAGTTCTTAAAAAGTGAGCACCAGACTATAAGTTGTCAACTAAGATAAAATAAAATATAAATATATAAAAAGGGAAATGCTACAACGAATCAGTTATCTGTGTCTTTGAAGGAGTATAGTAAAATACAACTGTTAAGAATATTCAGTGCTGATTTATAAAAAGGGCTTTCCTACAATTATAGTAGTTATATATATTTATAATGAAACCAGGCATATGTGAATAAGACTAAATCAGACTATAATAAAGAACAAACTAAAGATATTATTAAATAATTTTATGGTCCATTTAAAAGATAAGGACCAAAAATCTGTAAAAAACATAAGAGATCCGAGGTCAAAGAGGACCAACAGAAGAAGAAAATGGTGGTTTAACGTATCCTCCCGGCAAGGAAAAGGTAAGCCTTACAGTTCTAAGAAAGGGGAAGAGGATGATGAGGAAGATAGATATATACATGTTTTTGTTTTAAAAAAAAATTCAGGCCAGTCATCCAGGACGTTCAAGAGATTGTGAAATCGGCGCTTCTTGTATAACTTGGGGGACAATTCGGCTTTTAAAAAGGCATTTCTTTTATTGACGTAGGCTCGACCTTCTTTTGATAGTTCTTAAACTTGGCATGGATGATGGGTAGGAGGAAATGCAGCAATTGTTTTAAATCCGTATTTAAAGTTCGTTCGATGAGTTCCATGGCCTGATATTTGTTATGGATGTTGATCAACAGTTGATTCCGTCTTTCCTCGTATTCGGTCTGTAAGGAGATGGTAGAAGGATCGAGGATTGGAAGATCTGGATGATCGTAAGATTCGGTGAGAAAGTCGTAGTTCAGTAGATTCTCCAGTTGGGCTTGGTCCATAGGCTTCTTTCGGCGAGTGGGGGGATTTAGATTCACCAGATCTATTTCTTGCTCTTCTTCTGTTATGATCTCCCCCAGGATGTCGTTCGCGTGATTGGTGATAATTATCCGGTGAGACATATCGTTCCTTCTTTTCTTTGACAGGAGAGCACCTGGTTGGAGAGGGCGAGTTTCTTGAATAGTCTTCGAACTACGTGCCATGATAAAAAGTAGCGATGTTGGAGAGATTGAGAACCTCGACATTGGGTAACTTATATATTCGAAGTTTATTTCCGTGCGACAGTCTTTCAACGCCAGATTTGACATGTTTAATTTTGTAGGTACCCTTGATCGCAGGTTGACTTACTATATACGGTCCATGCCATTGATCTTCTAATTCTCCAGATCAATTAAGATCGGTAAAGTTCCACATAATCACCCAATTGAAAAGCCGGTTTCAATAATTTTCCTTTCTTCAAGATCTTGTTGTCGATTGCTTTCCGTTGAACGTTTTGGCTTTCAAAAATAGCATTAGCGGCTTCAACTCTAATGGCTTGTAATTGAGTTATTTGAAAATCTATCAATTCTTGAAGTCGTTCTTCTTGTAATTCGGATTTAGAGGGTGGTCCAATATTTCCAGCTGATACTTCGGTTACCGATAGTTTTTCGAAGTCTTGAGCAAGCGTTCTATCAAATGGTAAAAATGGTTCTCAACCATATGTCAACAAAAAGGGTGTTTTTTGGTTGTATGATGTCGCATAGTCCGGTATGCAGACAGAGTAGCACGAAGATACAGATTCCAATGTTGCTTTGTAATACTTGTCCTAGAGTGCGATTCAATCTTTCCATCAGGTCATTACCTTCCGGATGATAGTGACGAGTAGTCTTGTGATTGATACCAAAACTTTGACACACCGCAGTAACAATTTTGTTTACAAAGGAAGATCCATTATCTGATATTTAAATTCCGTTGTTCCATGAGTGACAGTAATATTGTTATAGATAAGCAATGAAATTTCGCAGGCGTTTTGAACTCGAAGAGGCTTGGCTTTCACTTACTTAGTCAGATAGCATATAGCAGCAACAATGAATCTATGATCTCCTCGTGAAGTTTTTACATGTTTCACGTCAATCCCCATTTTTTGAATGGGTTCATGTGTTACAGGAATCGGATTTAATTTTTCTGACAATTCGGGTACTCCTATTCTTTGACAGCGATCACAACGTTGTACGAAAACTTTCACTTCTTGTGCCATTCCCGGCCAATAATATCGGGCAGAGATTTTAAGTAGCATGGTGTTATAAGCAAAGTGTCCACCTAGAGGATGAGAGTGATACACCCACATGGCTCCAACTTGATGTTCTTGTTTTAGTAATACCAGGCGGGGTTGATTGGAATCAGCAGGAGAACCTTGGCGATATAACTTGCCGTCTTGAAGGAAATAATGTTTACTTTGAGTTTTGATAAAGGAAGCTAGGTCCTTAGAGATATCCTTACGGTACTGCAGGGTGGTTAAATATTCTTGTATTACTTGTAATTTGTTATCCATGTTTTGTATATTAATTTGAGTGTTGAGTTAGTTTTGACTGTTATTGAAATAATCATTTTGTATTGTTTATGATAGGTTCATTTAATTTTTAAAAGGAGGGTAACACGAACTATTGTTAAGTTTTTAATAAAACTTTTTAATGTCGGACGTGCCCAACTTAAGCTTTCTACAACTTCTTATAACTGGTTGGTTCAGGGATATGAAATTAATAACCCAGTCGTGAGAGAAAGTCCGCACTTTTTTTGATTGGACAAGGGCGATACTTGACATTAAATTGGTATTCACCAAGGAAGTTATTCCATCTTGCTAGAATTCCAGTCGGGTTGTTTGTGTTTAATAAGTCTTTTATAGCGCTGTGATCTGTGATGATGGTGAAGTGTCGACCTAAAAGATAGGGTCTACACATCGTGATGCTCCAGATACAAGCTATACATTCTAATTTGGAGATGCCGTAATTGGATTCCGTATTTTTTACACCTCGTCTTAGGTAAGATACAGGGTGTTTTCGTCTTTATCGTCTAATTGAGTCAACACACAGCCTAAATCTTGTTTGGACGCGTCAGTGATTAGAAGAAAGGTCTTGGCGAAGTCAGGGCGAACCAAAATTGGGGCAGAAATAAGAGCTGATTTCAAGGTTTCGAATGCCTTTGTAGTTTCTGTGATGTTTTGAGATAGAAACTTTAGATAAAAAACAGAAGAAAAAGAATTTTCAAAGTTATGGAGAGAAGGTCGTCGCAAAAGGGACGACGCTTTTTATATTAAAACATCTGGGAGATTGAAGCTGGTAAAGAATAGGTAGTGGCTTGTTTCTATCTTCTGAAACATGGCAATTAGAACTATATCGTCTCAAGCCAATCAATATTTTATCATATTGATTGGCCCGAATTATTAAGTGAAAATTTTTCATTTGCTGATACTTCAGTAACAGATTAAAGAGAGTCATAACAACCAATAATAATATAATTCCCAATATATAATCTGTAACAAGATTATACTGGTAATATGAGAGTACCACTTGAATATTATAATTTAACCATTGTAAGAAAACATTTTAACCAAACATAGACATTAATTAAGAGCTTTCAAAGTAAGATGGTTACACCATTCTCAAAAACAACTATAAATAACCCCTTCCATTTTTTTAATAAACTTCAGACATATTTTACTCTCACAAAACTTACTATAACCGAGCCATATTTGCTCTTACTTCCTTTTCTTTTTCTTTCTTTCTTTATTTTTATTCTTTCTTTTTTTCTTTTCTTCTTTTTTTATAAAGACTTACTTGAAAACATCTTAATTTATAAGAACCATTCAGTAAATCTCGAGATCCTGTACAGTAAACAACTTTCTTTTGAATAGTAACATACGTACTTTAAACAGTCTCAATAAAAGCTCTTCTATATCTACTTTCTCTTTTGTATAAATATATAAGAAAACATCCTTATCTGGAACCATTCTATATATTTCTGACCTTGTGTGAACACCTTCTATTATTTTTTTATAATCAGAAACAGTACACACTTTACTCCGTCAAACAAAATCATTTACTTTTATTCAAATTCGTTAAGAAACATCCTTAAACGGAACCATCATAACGTAATTAAGACCCTGTATAGTAAAACAACTCTCTTTTGAAGTACCATTACATACTTAAATCAGTCTTGATAAAAGCTTCTTGTTGATTTAATAACTCATACAATATAATCATTGATTCTTTTACGAACTCTTGATTGTTCCTCTCTCTTTCCCTTAATAACAATACAATAACAAAGGTCTAATCAAAACCTATTAATTGATTTGGTGCTCACTTTAAACTTAATCAACCCACGTCTTTTTTAAACTCTACGGAACATCCATTTTATAATACCATATTGACGATCATTCTATACGATCTTTATTGGAGAAAATATGACTGTTTCTTCATTCCAGGGAGTTTTGTTGTGTTTCTTTGTTTGTTCGTGTAACGGTCGAACAATTGTAGCAAAGGTTTTGACAAATCGGCGGTAGTAAGATGCTATACCAATAAAACTTCAAATTTGAGTAATCGATTTTGGGATCGGGTAATCAATGATCTTATCAATTTTTATGGGATCGGTCTTGAGTCCTTCAGCAGTAATGACGTAGCCTAAGAATTTCAGAGAGTTCTTGAAAAAATTACACTTGGAGGGATTAAAAGTTAATCCAGCAATGCAACAGCAGTTGAAAACTTGTTTTAAATGATTCTTGTGTTCATCATTACTATGCGAGTAAATATTTAAATCATCGACGTAACACACCAGAAACCTGTTGATGAGTGGCCGGAAAGGGATATCAAGCAATCGTTAAAACGTACTTGGGCTATTGCATAATCCAATTGGTAAGTTAAGGTATTCATAATTACCAAACTTGGTAGTGAACGCGGTCTTCTCAATACTTTCTTGTTCCACAGGGATTTGATGAAAGCCTGCAGTCATATCCAGGGCTGAGAAAATGGTACCTTTTCCAAGAGTATCCAATAGATCATCGATTCGGGGTGAACTATAAGAGTCTAGTTTTGTGATGCCTTGCTTTCTTTTTGTCCTCGTAATCTGTGTGACCATGAAGCTGTGATAAACAATCTTCGATTGCATTTTGGTCCTCAATTGTTTTGGCATTAGTAATCAAAGTAGTTGGGGTTGAGTTGCCTAATGGATTTGTTGTTTGCGTCATTGTTAGCAAGATTGTTTTTCATTACACCTAGAATCATATGATAATTTACCTGTTGGTGCTTTTGTCGCTCTCAATGTACGATAGGCCGCCTTCAAAGAGTTAGCGCTACGATCATCGGCAACCTTCGTTTCCTTGGTTCCTGTTTCCAACCTGATGGCCTCATTTTCTTCTTGGACGATTTTTTATGTCCAGCCATATGTAATTGGCTTACGTGGGACCATTCGTCCGCTCCACTTCGCAAAACATTCTTAGCTATTTTCAGTAAATAGATTTTTTCATCTTAAGTCATTCTGACAAATTCTGTTACGTTGCCCATTGTTATTTTATTAAGTTATATGAAAAAAAAGAAAAAAAGCTTTTTTAAAAACCGATAATTATGGTTTTTATACACGTTGTTTTATAAAGCACGCTATTACGTCAGACCTGTTTGAATCAATCATCTTGTTGAGATAATTTGGCGTGACGTATGAGATTCAATGTTATGGAACGCAATTATTGTCACTTTTGTATCGGTAACGTAATACAAGTTAATCTCTTTTACCATCCATTTCCTTTTTCTTTGTCCCCTTTATATTTTTGATACAAAATGCCCCCTATGACAAAGCGTAAATTAGCATTATTATCGCAAATTACTTTGCTTTTTACTGCTGTCTATCAGTACATAAATTTTCTTGAATCTCAACGCCGTATTTCTAAACGATTCTACACAACGTCAAAAAGTCTGCATTCACCTACTAAATCGGCTGCTAAAAAGTTGCTTAATGGTCGTCAGGATGATGCGTTTGTGTGTCATTTTGGTTTGACGACTGGAGCATTCAATTAATTACACGAATAATTTCAACAAGAATATCCCACCAAATGCACGGCTGGACGGAAAAGAGTCGTTGACACGGTGATAAGACCTGCTTTGGTTCTAATGTGGTTGCATAACACCATGAAGCAGGAGATCCTCTGCATAATATTCAGTGTCCCTGCTGCAACACT